CAAACTTTGGGAGCGTAGTATCTTTACGTTGGATAAGTAAAAATTGAAATGTCCGCATAAATTGAAGAGAGAAGAAATTTCTGCGTAACTGTTTCTGTTCTAACGGGGTTACATCAGTGACACGAAACTATTCGATTCGATTATACTCCCAGCAGGAAAGTGTGACGAGAAGAGCAATGTTCAGAAAGTTTGAATGGCCCTCGAAAGCATCTTGAGCGGCGAGTATGAGGAAATGGAACGTGAAAATGAATACTGGATGCGTCTCTATAGTGTCGCTTCTTTGCCATATCTCACGCGAATGTTTCACCTCGAGAAGAAATGGTCCCAGAACTCGAGCCCGGACGAAACTAAAATATTCGCACCTCGTCGCAACTTTTCTTGTTATGCGACCAAATAAAATGCTTACGGTTTATTGAATTCGAAAACGTATAACATTTGCAATTCAACTTCTACATTTTAAGATTTATGATTGATGGGATTAATGAACAGATTGTTATCAAGTTATGATTTGAATTTTTGGGATATTATTTGTTCTTTTAGTGATTTGTATACATTGTTCATTCTATTAGGTGTATGTCGTACTTAAAGAAGTAATTAAATATTTATTTTTATCTTGATTTATAAATAGCTTTGAATGTAAAGCAAGTGAGCATAACAATTGTGCGTGAAGTTATATCTCGCTTTAATGTACTGTGCGCAGTCTACTACGCATGTTCCTTACTGCGCATGCGTCGAACTTTCAAGGTAACAGTCGAGGTTAATAACCTTGCGTTGGAGAACTAAAAACAATGTCGACGATTTCGCAGAAACCAAAGCGAATGACCACATTAAATATTTAAATATATTATATTTATTACCATAGTATAAAGTTTGCAATTCTTGTCCGGCAAAGGAACGTTTAATTTTCACCAAACTTTTTGCCGTTGAATCGCAGTGATATATTTCTGACTTAAAAATCGAGTATTCTTGACAATTGGTAGTTTTAGCAGAGTTATCTAGCAGAAGCAACGAAAGAAAAGAAAATTTCGTAACTGCTTATCTCGAAATCGTATATCGCGCGAATCCAGCTCTCTTTAGCAATCGCCTGGTTTCTGGAGAACAGGGATGGCGCAAGGTATATCCGTTGGACAGATTCCAGTACGCGGATACAGCAGCTTTCAGGTCGAAATACCACGACGGTCGCATGCTTGGTATTACTGATATTAGCGTTGCCAGTAACTCTTTCGAAATAGTCTTGGCACGTTCTGAACTTCGATCAGTACACGGTTCGCTTCCTACACCTTTCTCGAATCACGCTTCCAAGTTCCGCGTATACGCGAGACTTTTAACGCTTTCTATTATTTATCCTGCTTTCGTGTTCCTAATCGTATTAGGGGAACTAATTTACTTTCGAAACAGAACTCTGCTGGTATTGTTCGTTTCGAAGGTATGTTGGTTAGTGGATTTTTTGGGAAATTTTCGAATTGCGTTGTTAGGTATTATTGATAAAGGGAGAGTGATGGTAAGGGCAATGTACGGAGGTGTATAAGTTGGGTGTAGTAGGAGGGGTGGTTAAGGGATAATAAATTGGGAAATTTTTATATTTTCATGTTAGTACCTTTGGAAATTGGGAAAGTTGGGAATATTTATATATGGATATTTCTGAATATTAAACTCTAGTAATTTCGAAATTTTCCAACTTCTAAATTCTTATGTTCATGAATTTCGAAATTCCCAGATTCCCACATCCTTAGATTCCTAGGTTCCTAGATTCCTAGATTCCTAGATTCCCAGATACCTAGAATTCTAGATTCCTAGATTCCTAAATTCCTAGATTCCTAGATTCCTAGATTCCCAGATACCTAGAATTCTAGATTCCTAGATTCCTAAATTCCTAGATTCCTAGATTCCTAGATTCCCAGATACCTAGAATTCTAGATTCCTAGATTCCTAAATTCCTAGATTCCTAGATTCCTAGATTCCCAGATACCTAGAATTCTAGATTCCTAGATTCCTAAATTCCTAGATTCCTAGATTCCTAGATTCCCAGATACCTAGAATTCTAGATTCCTAGATTCCTAAATTCCTAGATTCCTAGATTCCTAGATTCCCAGATACCTAGAATTCTAGATTCCTAGATTCCTAAATTCCTAGATTCCTAGATTCCTAGATTCCTAGATTCCTAGATTCCTAGATTCCTAGATTCCTAGATTCCTAGATTCCTAGATTCCTAGATTCCTAGATTCCTAGATTCCTAGATTCCTAGATTCCTAGATTCCTAGATTCCTAGATTCCTAGATTCCTAGATTCCTAGATTCCTAGATTCCTAGATTCCTAGATTCCTAGATTCCTAGATTCCTAGATTCCTAGATTCCTAGATTCCTAGATTCCTAGATTCCTAGATTCCTAGATTCCTAGATTCCTAGATTCCTAGATTCCTAGATTCCTAGATTCCTAGATTCCTAGATTCCTAGATTCCTAGATTCCTAGATTCCTAGATTCCTAGATTCCTAGATTCCTAGATTCCTAGATTCCTAGATTCCTAGATTCCTAGATTCCTAGATTCCTAGATTCCTAGATTCCTAGATTCCTAGATTCCTAGATTCCTAGATTCCTAGATTCCTAGATTCCTAGATTCCTAGATTCCTAGATTCCTAGATTCCTAGATTCCTAGATTCCTAGATTCCTAGATTCCTAGATTCCTAGATTCCTAGATTCCTAGATTCCTAGATTCCTAGATTCCTAGATTCCTAGATTCCTAGATTCCTAGATTCCTAGATTCCTAGATTCCTAGATTCCTAGATTCCTAGATTCCTAGATTCCTAGATTCCTAGATTCCTAGATTCTTAGATTCCCACATCCTTAGATTCCTAGATACCTAGATTTTAAAATTCCTAAATTCCCAAATTTCCCGATTTTCCCACAATTCTCCAAATTTCTAAAATTCCCTAAATTTCCAACATTCCCAAACTTTCCAAATTCCCAAACTTCCAAAAATTCACAAATTTCCAAATTCTCAAAATTCCCAAAATTTCCAAACTTCCTAAAATTCACATATTTTCAAATTTCCAAAATTCCCAAGATTTCCAAAATTCGTAAAATTCCCAAAATTCGCAAATTTACAAAAATTCCCAAACTTCCAAAATTCCCCAAATTCTCAAAGTTTCCAAACTTCCCAAAATTCCCAAGCTTCCCAAAATTCACCCAATTCCTAGATTCCTATATACCTGGCTTCCTACGTTTCTAAATTCTAAATTCATCAAATTTCAATATCAGATATCAAATTATTAAATATTTAAATTTAAAACTGTCGACTATATCAAAACTTCAAATCTGAATTTGCTACTTCATAAAAAATGAAAATTCCCCCAAAGGTATCCTTCTACGTAACCAACGTCGAAAGAGAGAACAAATTTGAATCGACACTGTAAAACCCTAATTAACATCACAATCATACAACCTTGCCGTAATTAACATGACAGTAGGCCAGTTTAAAAGGACCTCTAAAAAAGAGGTACAGACAAACGTAGAAACGTCACGAAGAATAAACACAGTCTCCAGTTCGATTGTCGTGGAAATGAGACATGAAAAAAATAGCGGAAAAAATCCCTATTCCACAGAGCCAATGGTAAAATGGATTTTATACGTCCCCAGAGTCATGAATATTTCACGCATTCGATCGCAATGAAAATCGTCTCGAAGCCGTGTCAAAAACGCGATCGACGTTAGACGTAAATCGGAAACGTATTTGATAAAAAATAAAAAGAAAAAACTTGATGTTATATTTACTTTTCCTTTTTATCGGTTGTTTGTTGTTTTCCGGAACACTTGGGGATCAATTTGTCCGTGGATAACGCGACGGCAGCGCGCTTTGAAATTTTGCATTTTTATAAATTTTACGTCGATCAAGGTGATGCGTTTTTTGAATTTCTCTTTACCGCGATACCGGCTTGATTGAAATGTCCGTCAAAGCTTGATTTCACGCTATCCGACCGTTTCCGTCGCATTAATTTTCAACATTTTCTTCGTTCGTGCATTAAGGGGCGGAATATAATCGATGGGCGAAGGAAACGGGTATTTTACGGGAATTGAGAACGTCATGATCGGAAGAGTGTAATTTTTATATTTGACAAATTTTTGGTTTATAATTTTGGGGATTTGGAAATTTGAAGGTTTGGACATTTGTAGATTTGTAAATTTGTAGATTTGTAAATTTGGGGATTTGGAGATTTGGGGATTTGGAGATTTGAAGATTTGCAGATTTGCAGATTTGCAGATTTGCACATTTGCACATTTGCAGATTTGCAAATTTGGAGATTTGGAGATTTCAGGATTAGAGGATTTGGTGATTTGAGGATTCGGTGATACGAAGATTTGGATATTTAGAAATTTGGAGATTCGGGAAATTGAGATTTTGGAAATTTGAAGATTTAGGCATTTAGGAGTTAGGGTATTTCGGAATTTGAAGATTTGGAGGTTTAATGATTTTTAAACTTCATGAATTCAGGCATTTTGTGACTTTGGGATTTGGAAAATTGAAAATTTGGAGATTTGTAGATGTTGACATATGGTGAATTGGAGATTTGGAGATTTGTAGAATTAGAGATTGGTAGATTTGGAGATTTGTGGACTTGGAGATTTGTAGAATTGGACATTTTTAAATTCGGAGATTTGCAGATTTAGAGATTTGTAGAAATAAAGATTTGTAGATTCCGAAATTTGTAGATATTTTTTTAAATTCAAACAATTAAAGAACACAAAATTTAAAGAATTCGAAAATGCGAAATAAAAAAATTTCAAACTATAAATCCTCAAAAATTAGAAAATGTACTTAATTCTAAATACGAGTCAAACTTCAAAGAACCTTGTACACAACATTTCCCAATAACTTAAGACTCCAAACACTTAGCTTACATAAAGCTTATGTACACGTTACAGCATCGTTGTTAGAATCGCCAATTAAGCAGGAAGCTCGTTAAATAAATTACTAATTAAATAAGTAGATCGTTACTCACCAATCTCTACTGGATGGAAAGACGATCCGTTGAAACTACGAACAGGGTCGAAGGCTCCTTCCACAGCATAGTTTGTCCTTCTCGATCGATTTTTTCCATAGCACAACAACACATTTGTTTCGTCGCAAACAAATTCCACAAAGACTGCAGTTAATTCGCGAATCCGTTTGTTCGCACTTTATCGCACATTATAACACTGATACACTGACTGATTAACAAATTACGTTTATTTACGTTGCATCGTCCGTTTCTACTGCGAAAGCACATTCAAACGTTGAAATGTTAAAAAGAACGTTAAATACTTGGACACGGAACGTATTTTAACGCGTGGACATTATTTAAATGCAATTTAAATCGTCTGTTTGTCTCCTGCATTGTTTCGATGCTGTTTCATTATTGATGATACGGTCAATTAACTCTGTGATACATTGTCATGATAAAAACACCCAAATTTATAGTATAATGTTTTTATGATAGTCTTGTTCGACTGTAGTACACTGTAATTAGCTTCTTCAAATATTTCAAATAGCGAATGATAAGAGAATTTTTATAGAACAGTCTCACAGAGTTAATTATAACGTTCAGGTAGAAATTCTTTGTAGACTTTAGATTTGAAAATGTCTCCATATTTTATCGCATGAAATACTCCTATCTCTTCTGTGTTAAAAGAACTTTGTAGAAAAATTGACCATTTTACTGAGACATTATTTAACTTTCATTCTCAGGTACTGTTAAAAAGAATTTAATTTTACATCTCATTTATTGTATAAAATGCTCTATTTAAAATATTACTGTTCACTGGAGCTGATGAACTTAATTATTTTTAATTTTATGCAAGTTTTAACTTTTAACCAATTTTTAACAACTTTAATATGTCTGTCATACATAAATTCATACTGTAACTTCAAGCATCTAATACGATTATTTCTAAGCAGTTACATTACATATGTGATAACATGTGACAATATGTGGGAGATATGTAACATAATACTACTAGTACCATCAACAAAGAATTTTCTAAAAATATATTACAAAACTTCAAGCACTACTGTTGTCCATATTCCGCGAATAAAATAAATAAAATCGAATAAACAGTAAAAATTTCTCATTAACAACGATGAAAATTTTGTTTTATGTCCAAATAGAATCAGTAGTACCGTTGCACTGAAACAAAGCAAAGGAAGAACAAACAAGCTTCGCGTCCAACTCAAAATTTTTTTTTCGCTTTTCACGTTCTGCATCCACGCGTCGCAACACGTTCACGGTCCCGTTAATTTACGTACATTCTAGAGGTTATTTTTCGCGACGATTCAAAAGCGTTAACGCTCAGGAACGCGTCTATTAACGTGGCTTTATTAATTGCAATGATCGAGGAGGAATGAATTACGAACATTCGAAATTTCAACGAAATAAATGAAGGAGAGAAATAATTTTCAATTTGTCTTGCGGCGTATATTGCAGACGAATATTTCCAGGATTTATAATCGAAAATTCGTGATACGAAATTCCGCTTCTGTTCGAATTTTAATTGCAAATTCCCGTTATTTTATGGAATAATCTGACTTCGTATAGAAGGTTATTAAAGTAAGTAAAATGGTTTTTATAGGTTAATGATATGCTATGAAATTTTTATGTGTTAACGTGTTACGTTGGTGAAATTAATTCGATTAAATTGATTACATTAATCAAGTTATGCTTTTTGGGTCAAAATGTAGCTGACACGTCATCAAAATTGCAATAAAAAAATACCGATAAAATACCATGCAAATTTATAATTTTTGTGTATACATGTATGTTCCACATTTTATGTATGTTCCACATGTGATAGAAAAATATCTTCATTTATTAATTCACAAAATAAAACCCTTGTTATTTGTCGAATAATAGAGTCCAGTTGTGAGTATTTAAATATAGAAAAAAAATTGAAATTCTAGTCGATAAACAGTTGGATAGGTTATTTCGATAACGCCTAGTACTGGTCTGACCACATACGGTCACTTTTCACTGTGGCAACGTCGTAATTCTTACTCTCGAACGTAACAACAAAATTAAACAAACGTTTTCTATATAACAAATTCATTCAACAAAAACTTATACAATACTTCAAATTTGTAATATCACAAACAAAAATTTTATTGAAAATCCTATGTTATTTTTGTTGAAGTACACTGCATATTTGATCAGATAAAATAATACAAAATATACAGTCCGTAATTACAATTTAATATTTGATTTTTAAACCCCCTTACAAATTACCAATGTTTTCTCTGAATAAATTTTTCAAATTGTTCAAACAATTTTAATTTTTAATTTTTAATTCTTGAAATTGTCACATGTGGAACCTCACAAATGTTTCTCTTCAAAAATATATAATATCAATATAATTATAAGTTAATATTCGAATAATTAGTAAAATTGCCACATTTTACCGTTCGTTAGTTATAAATGAAAGAATGTAAATCAAACGTAATTCTTAAAGTTTCCCAAAGCGTCAGCGAACGATATTGCTTTCCGCAAAGAATCGAGAAAGAAAATATCCGTTGAAATTTCGAAATATTTCGTCCGTGAAGATGAATATTCAAACGAATAACATTAGCATTATTTACACGGAACATCTCGGAACAAAAATTTTCCCAAGTATTTCAAGCTCGACGTGCACTCGAGTCGAATTAAAAAGCACCACAACAAGAAACGGACAAAAAGAAAACAGAAGGATCTCCGGATTATATTTTGAATTTTAACAAGGCATTCAGACCGAATCATAAATTACAAAACAAGCGCGCCCGAACCAAAGGGCGGGCCGGAACGTTAATAATAGAGACAGTATGGAGTTCGAAAATAACGAGCAAAGATTAATTAAAATGAACTGTCACGCGCGCCGTTTGAACTGCACGGTTGCTTTGTGCGTCGCGCTATGCGTCGAGCTGCATCACTGAAAAAAACGCTCGCTCGACTTGTCACACGTAACGTATCACCTTTAATTAACGTGATTTTTTTCTTCCACGAGTACGCTTATGAGCACAAAGGCTCGCGTTCAAATCTAGATGGAACTATTCGTGTACCTGTGTTTCACACTCGGCACGTGATCCTCAAAGCATACGACCGGCCGCGATTAACCCAACTTACGCCCTGCACCGCGGGCCAAATCACGCTATTCTATTTTCAGAAATACCTTTGCTCGTTTGAATGCACTCGTATCTTCCCTTATCGCGTCGACGCGTTAAACTCAACACCACACGGCGATTTAATCGGAGTATCTCCCCGTACGACGTTCAATTCCAGTTACGTGGCACGCGTCTCCTTGCAATCACGCAATATGCACTTGTATCACACTTGCACGGTAACAGTATCGCTGACGGATCGATTTCACCATGGGCGATTAATTAGCGATAACACGCGACACACGTCGGAAACCGAATAGGCGCGCACACACGGGAAAATTCGCGCCAAACGCGCGCACCGGCCGCTCAACTACGAATGAACGAAAGCGCCACAGCCGAAAGTTCGCGAGCCCCACCGCCCTTTCGGCGCTTGCGAAGTTACGCGCGGAGCCGGCCGATCGCCACCGAACGACACCGACCACGCACGAAGATCGATGGACGGGGCTCGTGGTGTCGCTACAAGATAATTAATCGCTCCAAATATAATGCTCGATCGTGGCTTTAACATTGCTATGGACTTCTAAACTTTTGTCGTTTTGTAAATAGATACGTTACAAATTGTGGGAGAGTCAAATTCGATAGTCGAGGGTTATTTAAAAATTCGAACTGCGATCTTTGTTTTTCTGTCTTTTCTGCTTGAATTTGCCGCGCTGGAACCCTACTGATGAGGAGGTCGATCGATTTGATAGTAAATCAACTACAGTTCATTTATGAACTTCATGTTTAATTTCGCAGTAAGAGTGCATTGTACGGTTTAACCACTGAACACTAACTGTTCTCTCTTCTAGAGCGCGGATCATTATTCATAGAAATATTTTCGACGGAAAATTCAGTAACCTGAACTGACGTTTGCAATTATTTAGAGCAACCTGTATATTGAATTTCAAGAAGGCTGAATTTGCTGAATTTCAAGCTTTGAAGTTTATGAATTTCAGTATTTTGTAAATTTAGAATTTTAGAAACATAATAAATTAAGAATATAAAGAACCTAGAAATGCATTTATAAATTTGAATAGTAGAAAGTTTAGAAATTTCAAATGTACCAATCTTCCATATTTCTTAAATTTCATAAAAATCATAAAAATTCAGATGATTCAAAAAATTCACAAATTTTCAATTTCTCAAATTAAGAAATTGGCTATCCGTACCACACCTAAGGAAATATAAACTAACCTTTACTGCACAGGGACTGAAACGTCCATTGAGGAGCTCCGATGTCTGACTTGTTTGGTAGCTCAGCTCTATTCTACTAGTAACTCTGTGAACGTGGTGAGGAGAAATTGTAAGGATGGACGATACGACACAGACGTTTTTCCCATTCCTTGTGGCAATGCTAGAAGTCTTCATTCTTTAGAGCATTCACTTAGTCGGTCACGACCTTTTGAATGCTTTCAATTGTATGAAAATGATGGCCCTTAAGATGATCTTTAATCTTGGGGAATAAGAAGGCTTTACAAGATCTAAGAAACCGAACGACACCGACCACGCACGAAGATCGATGGACGGGGCTCGTGGTGTCGCTACAAGATAATTAATCGCTCCAAATATAATGCTCGATCGTGGCTTTAACATTGCTATGGACTTCTAAACTTTTGTCGTTTTGTAAATAGATACGTTACAAATTGTGGGAGAGTCAAATTCGATAGTCGAGGGTTATTTAAAAATTCGAACTGCGATCTTTGTTTTTCTGTCTTTTCTGCTTGAATTTGCCGCGCTGGAACCCTACTGATGAGGAGGTCGATCGATTTGATAGTAAATCAACTACAGTTCATTTATGAACTTCATGTTTAATTTCGCAGTAAGAGTGCATTGTACGGTTTAACCACTGAACACTAACTGTTCTCTCTTCTAGAGCGCGGATCATTATTCATAGAAATATTTTCGACGGAAAATTCAGTAACCTGAACTGACGTTTGCAATTATTTAGAGCAACCTGTATATTGAATTTCAAGAAGGCTGAATTTGCTGAATTTCAAGCTTTGAAGTTTATGAATTTCAGTATTTTGTAAATTTAGAATTTTAGAAACATAATAAATTAAGAATATAAAGAACCTAGAAATGCATTTATAAATTTGAATAGTAGAAAGTTTAG